GGTCTGCTTTTTTTTTTTTTTTTTTGCCAGAAGGCACACGGACTTGCGGGGTGGGGGGTGGGGGTAAGAAAGCAGCATTCCTCATGGGGCACTGTCATGCCACAGTCCCTTCTCCATTTCTCCCTCCTTTCAGAATTTTGGGCATACGTACACATGCACACAAATACCCATGCATGGTTTTCAAGCCACTGGATTGAGTGAGGACTTGAACTGCACTGTTGACCATGTCGGATTCAGCCACCTTAACCACCTTCTACCTTTAATACTTAGAATGATTGGCGGTGATGACAACTCATTACAACTTTTGTTATTTATTTATTTCCATTTTTGCTATAGGGCACATTCGCTTGCCAGAGAGACAGAGATAAAGAAAATGAGAAATCACAGTCCCTTCTTTTCCATTCTCTTTTTGGTATTTTTGGGCACACACTCGGAGTGAGTTTCAAGCTGCCAGGTTCATGACTCAAACCACAGTCGACCTTATGGGGAGTCCAGTGCTTTAACCAACCACTATGTCTCCTCCTGGTCCTCATTACAGCTTTTAATTTCTTAATGGAGCACTGAGAGCTATCTATCCTCTCTTTTTAAATAGAAATATTAGAAACTAATAGACATACAAAACATGACAAAATAGTGAAATGCTGTTGAGCATCTTTCATTTTTCTGCCTTTTCTTGATCTTAACTAAGTCATTTCTTGAGACTGACATGGTCCTTTGCTCTTTCTATGACAGCCTACCAAGTACATCTTTTTCCCAGATGAAGGAAGGAATGTCATTTGGCAAATGACTTAAGTGTCTCTTCCTGTCCAAGGGTTTGTGGGTCCTGCTCAAACAAAGATTTTTTTTTAGATTTTTAAAGCAAATCCTAGCTATCATGTCATTTTACCCATAAATGGTTCAATATACATTTCATTTCATTTATTTATTTATTTATTTATTCTGGGGAAGGTTTTTGCTATAGGGCCTGTGCACTCGCCAGAAAGACAGAGACAGAGAGACAGAAAACAAGAAATCACCCCCTGGAGGGATGGCCATGCTGCAATCCCTTCTTCATTCTCCTCTTGGAATCTTGAGCACGCATGCACATGTGCCCATTGTAAGTTTAAGCCACCGGATCCAGGACTCGAACCGTTGTTGACTACATGGGACTCCAGCGACATAGCCATTATGCTAACTGCTGGTTCTTCAATAAACATTTTTAACACATAAGAACTTTTAAAAATTTAGCCACCACATTATCTCACATTAACATTAACCACCAGGCTATAGGCTGGCCCTGGTTGTTTTGTCTTTTAATTATCTTTTATTCTAGATTAATTATTTTTGATGGATTATAGATAGATAAGTTAAGACAATCACAAAATAATTAAGACAGTATAGTATTTATTAATATTAAGGTACTCAGTAGAATATGATCAAATATGAGGCAACTAGTTTCTGTTTTTCTTTTTTTTTTTCTGTTAAAGATTTTTGCCACAGGCGTGTGCATTCACCAAAGAGAGACAGAGACAGTGAGAGAGAAAGTGAGAAATCACTCTCCCTTCTGAGGGAATGGACACTTTGCAATCCCTTCTCCTCTGTTCTCCTCCCAGGATCTTAGGCGTGTTTGCACATGTGCCCAGTGTAATTTTTAAGCCAAGTCCAGGACTCAAACCATGGTCTGCCATGTGGGAGTTCAGTGCCTTAATCACCATGCTTTAACTAACTGCTGGCCTATAGGCCTTCATTTTTAACTCTGCCAAGTTGTTTTGTTTTTAATCTCTAGTTCTCTAAATAACAAGCTTATTTGCTGTTCTTTTCTCTGAGGAGTTTAATGATATTGTTTTCCTCAACTTTCATCTCATTTTTTTTGTTTGTTTTTCCACGTTGTCTTTATTTTTCATTTGTTTTAATCCCCTTTGTTTATATTTGATACTTTCCTCGTAGGCCTTGTGTGATCTGGGTCGTCCACTCATATTTAAGATGTGTTTTATTTTCGGTATCCTCCTCACTCCCACTTCCGGTGGTACCTGACGCTGCCAGCCATCAAGTTTTTGGGCAGTTCTGTGTGTATTTCATGTTAACCGTTCAGCTCTTCTCACTGCTGCGTAGATTCTGCCCCCATAGGGGTTGAGTTCCACCCATTTGTTTGGTTTCCAGCTTCTAAACCTTCGTTGTCGGATTTCTTCCCCGTTCTGTCCGTGTGTACTTCTGCTTTACAACGTACGTTCTGTTCTGCCATTTCGGGGGTTGGGAGGCACAGAGGTATGTGCGCAGTCTGAACCAGGGTTGGGTGCCGTTCCTGCTCCACATCCAGCCCACAGCCTGGTTTTGTGTGGCCTGGCTTAAAAATGGTTTCTACATTTTCACAATGCCGTTAAGCAAGACAAAATAAAAAACCCAGAAAAGGTATGTGACAGAAGCGCTGTTTACCTACAAAACCTGAAATATTTACTGGTCTTCTGTTTTCCACTGGAGGACTAATTCCTTCCCCTAGCTTTCACAGCCAGGGGCCCCCTCCTGCTTCAGGGAGTACTCCTCACTTCCCGTCCCTGTACCTAGGCTGCTTACCCCCGACTTTTCAGTAAGTCAAACTGCGAAGAATGGCAAAGGTCACTGGCTGGCGTCCTCTGCTACATTCAGTCGCTGTTTGGTCGAGCTGTACTATACCTGGCTCCTCTAGGATGTTAGATACTGGTGGTTTCCATTCTCGCCAGCTTCCTTGAACTGCTTTTCCCGAGACCACAGCGGCACCCTCACCGCCAACTCGGAGGATACTTTACAAACCTCATCTTACCTTTCTTTTCTATTTAACCGTGTTGCTTCCTATTGATTTCTAGCGTATTTCTGCTCCCTTGTATTCTGTGAGCCCACTTCTCTAAATGTCCATGCCCTCTGTGTTCTCAGTTTCCCAGTCCTGTTCATTTTCCTG